CATGCAACCTGCCGCTTATAAAAAAAACAACAACCGATCTTACCTACAGGAGGCTGATTTTAAATACAGCTGGAGAGTCTTGTGTCGGTGGAGGTCTGGGAAACGGACACACGCACATTGAGGAGCGCGTACTGTCCCCAACGCGCTCTCTCTCTCTCTCTCTCATCACGACTCCACTATACAGCGTCGAGACCTGCGCGCGCACACTTCAAATTAAATTAAGCTTTTCTTATTCTTCTTAAATTTTTGAGAGGATAAAATCATTTCCAGAACCTGGAACTTAATCGGTTTTTGTTAAATGTGAGCCAAAATCATCACAATTAAAAGAACCAAAGACTTAAACTACTTTAGTCTGACTGCATTGAATTTATTTAATGCACAAGTTTCACAATTTGAGTTGAATTACTGAAATAAAATAACTTTTCCACGACATTCTAATTTATTGAGATGCACCTGTAGTAGGGATGTCACAAACATTACGTGAACATTATTGTTGACTGAACATTATTATTGACTGTATTTAAAATGTATTAAGCGTATGTGTCAATATATTCAGTAGTTCATAATCGCTAAATAAATAAGATTGCGATATTGGTCGCCTGACCATTCATTATTCTGCTCATTACACGGCTACTCATGCCAAATAAATTAATATACTGTATATAAATATTGATTTACAGAACCAATTACAATATAGCCTACATTTTTATATAATTATTAATTTTGATTCCAATTAAATTGGTCTAAGTTAAGTTATTTTTATCCGTGCATCTTTGCATTCGTTGTTTTTTTGTTTTTTTCCCCGCCAACTGATGTTTCATTCATACAAATCAAAAAGTATGTTCAGTGTAAAAGTAATACTTAATCCCTCCAGGCCATTTACTATATCGTATATCCGTTAAATGGCGCAAATTAGCTATTCAAACTTCTGAAGTATTCCACCTTCTACACAGTACGCGACTTGGAGATGGCTTCCCGGATGGATGAAGGTCGATTGTTTAGATTTTTTGACCAGTGAGTGATTGACAAAACCAGAATTAGGTATTTCGTGGAATACTGTAATAGAATTATACAAATGTGATATATGTCTAATTATTATTATAACAGCACAAACAGATTCTGGCCTATCAGCAACTGTTTCAACCCAACTTTGGGTCAAATATGGACTAACCCAACAGTCAGGTTACATTTTTACATTAAATGTTTAACCCAAAAGTTGGGTTAGTCCATATTTGACCCAAAGTTGGGTTGAAACAACCCAGCATTTTTTAGAGTGTAAGAATGGCAGAAAGGCAGAACAAACCACCATCACGTTAACACACAACTTGAAAATAATACACTAAATAATATAAGAATGCAACATAAACTACAATATTGTATTGGTCATAAGGCCTTAGAATTAACTTTCGTTGAATATAAAGCACATTTTCCCACATACATAATTGCTGCTTTCACCAATACAACTTTAACCCGATGGATGATAAAAACAATTCCGCACTGAGACTTGAATAATATAGATGGGTGGACTTGGCCCACTAAGCAACCACACCAAACACCTTAGCAACCGCATAGCAATGCCCTGGCAACCACCCAAAAATGCGGTGAGGGTTTTGTAAAGCACCACTTCTATATATATATATATTTTTTTTTTATATTATTAGTACTACTATATATTTACTTTTATTATTTATTTTTTCTTTTAATTTTATTTTTATTTTTTTGAGGAAACATCTACTTGCTGAGCCACAAGTTTACCTGGATGTAACAGTGTTTTTAACATAAAAATTCATTTATTCCAGTTGAAGAACAAAAATGGATACAAATCTTGCTCTCTCTCTCTTTTTTTTTTTTTTTGCAGAAACTAAAGTTTTACTGCCTTGAAATTTAAAGTCTATAAAATGCTTACATTTACAAACTTAGGATAATTTATATAGCAACATAAAATCAAATTCTTATTATAATTAGTGTACCACAAATTACCTGACTGTAATGTTCACTGAATCATTTTCATCAGTAATTTTAACACAAGAAAACTTTCTTCTAACTTAAAATAAAGGGGAAAAAATTATTTGCAGATGTAATGCAGCCATAAATGTTTAATGTTTCACATGCATAATCTTGAGCTTAATGCTGCTCTGCTTTGTTCAGCTTTCATAGCCTTGAAGTTTAAATTCTATAATATATTAACTCTCAGATTTACGCAGCCTGTTTTATATACCACCTTAACATAAAATCACATCCGAATTATTATTATTGTTCCACAAATAACCCACCTGTAATGCTCATTTAATGATTCTCACCAGTAATTTAAACACGAGAAAGTTTGTTCTATTTAGAGATTTTATAGGGCCATAAATGTTTAATATTTTGCTTGCATATTCTTGATGTTGCTCTTTTTCTGTTTAGCCAAAAATGAAGCGTAATTGCCTTTTAATTGCCCTGAAGTTTATAGTCTGTCAGAAGATATTGCTTGGGAGTTTCGGCACAGTATATCAAGAATTTTATTCTGAAAAGTTTCCAGTATCGCCTAATAATCTACTTGTATTCCCCTATATAAACATAATGATGAATGTGTGCCATGTAAACTGTGACCTGGGTTTGTAAATGGGTTTCCACATGAACCACAATACATTGCTGTCAGCTCATTTCCCTGCGAGTGTAATTTCAGCAGGGATCCAGCTCCAATCTGTTTATTTCTAATTTTACCATATACATAGAATAACAATGACTGGGAGAATATTTGCCTCGCACGCAGCCCCAATAACTGGAGAAGATGAATGCGTGGCATAGTACTTTCATACCTGCGAGTCTGTGTGTGCGTTCATTGCAACGCCCCAGTTTAGCTGCCTCCTCTCCTCTGCCGTTGATGGTATCTTATTGTTAGCAGGTGGCTGCCAGTGACAGGAGCATTGAAAAACTGCTGACAATAAGCCATGGCTCATAGGAAAACGTGAAAAAGGAGGACACGCGAGCAGTGTGGTTCTTCCTCACTAAGGCGTAGGGGGTGTTAGAAGGGAAAGGAACGAGATCCCCGGGGAAACGTTCCAGCGAGTTCCTGTGCTTTAGATGATGGTTCATAAACTACCATCACCCTCGAGGGCCTGGGGAGCCGAAGCTGAAATACTTCAGAAGTGCCAATAAATGAAAAAGTGAGAATTAGAGGAAAGTTTGGCGAGCCGAGGGGTGTAATGGAGACCGATGGACCATGGGAAAGAAACCCCTCTGAGGAGGAAGTGAGGTCTCGTGTGAAAGATCTCTGTCATTCACACTGAGAGGGTTTGTGTGCCGTCGTACTAAGCAGCTGTGGAAAATGAGCACTCAATGATTTCATGCATATGGCACCCACGCATGTAAACACACACACACACACACACACACTGAAGACTCCATCTCTACAACACAGCCATGCTAGCGTAACAAAGCCACAGGGAATAAAGCGTTCTTTTCCGTTCTAATTTAAGAATTTCTCTCATTTAATGCCGTGTATTACACACGATTGCACACATCAAACGATTATCTCTGCATCACGACACCAAGACCATTTTTCCCCAAGAAACTGAGAAGAGTTCTCTTGAGCGCAGATGTGACAAAGAACATCCAGCAACACGAGATTTTAGTGTAACACAGGAAGGCTACAGATGGACTGCAGTGTGTCTGGTGAACATGCGGTTACTTAAGCAAAATCCTGCAGGCGTGCAGCGTGAATATCATATTTTAGGATATAGGCACGGATCTGTTTATTACTGTACTGCCTCCTTTAATTGAGATTAATGCAGTTCAGTGGGCATAACAGGAAAGATGCCAACATTATAATCCGAACCCGGGTGCCAGGTGTCGAGTTTTCAATCGCAGTGTAATAGAAAACTTTTGCTTCTGTGTACAACTACTATCTGATGTGGTCTTAACCTACTTGCAACACATTAAAAATAGATTCCTTTTCTACTTGAATTAGTTGGTTATGTAGACAGATTTACTGCTAATCCCCAAAGGGACAAGCAGCTGTTTGCATCCTTTATTTTCTAACACAATTGTGCCCTCTAGTGAAACTGTCTTGAAAATAAAGCATAACGCAACATGGACACGCATACAGAGGTTCTCAACTCTGGCCCTGGAGGTCCAGTTTCTTGCAGAGTTTAGCTCCAACCCTAATCAAACACACCCGAACAAGCAAATCGAGGTCTTCAGGATTACTAGAACGTTACAGGCAATGAGTTTGATCAAAGTTGGAGCTAAACTCTGCAGGAAAGTAGACCACGAGGGCCACATTTGAGAAGCCCTGCATGGTCTAGCATAATGTTATCTGATATGTCAAACCAGTTGCTGTTACAAATGGTACAGATCATCCTTTTACAACTAAATGTGTTATTTATATCAATTTAAATTAATAATCTTTTTTTTTTTAAATAAAAACATAATAGAGCTTAAAGGATATTGTTCACTTGCAGAATGTAAATGCTGCCATCATTTACTCACCCTCCACTTGTCCCAAACCTGTATGAGTGTCTTTCTTCTGTCGAACACAAAAGATGATATTTTGAAAAATGTTGATATCCAAAGAGTTGATGGGCACCATTCCATAGTATTTATTTTTCTACCGAATGGTGCCCATCAACTGTTCGGATCCTTAAAAAAAAATTAACATTCAAAGAAACTCAAACAGGTTTGGAACAAGTGGAGGGTGAGTAAATGATGACAGAATTTTCATTCTGGAAGTGAACTTATCCTTTAATAATGTGAGTCATAATAGCCTACAGGCCTAATCAATAATCTACAAAACCCGTACAAAGAGAGAAAAAAAAACTAATCTACTAAGAGTAGCCTATGCTGTTAAACAATTATTTAAAAATATATAGAAATGCATAAATAGGGCGATTTCTGACTCTTGTTTGAGTTGATGAACCATGGTTGGCCAGGCTTTTGAAATTGTTTTTAGTTAATTAAAATTGTAGTATTTTTCTTATGCACCGAACACTAATGATGTGAAAATACTCGATACTTACAAAACTTACATGTTGGGTCTCAAGATGATGTGAACCCGTAAACGTTGATATTAAGATAATGTTTGTCAGCAACTTGAGCACTAAACACGACCAGTGTATCTGACTCGTACTGTTTTCAGGTTCTGCGCAAGTGTTGCGCAGAGCGGATGCGCATGAACACACATCAGCGGTCTTATTATCATCACTGAGGAGCCGTGAAAACATTATTGCGTTCATCTGTGTCGAGCAAATTCTAACGTTTCCGATCAATTTGAGTCAATAAACGAACAATGAGTGATCATCCGGTGACTAGCAGATGAGCCAAATCTGATCGTCGCTGAAAGAAAGAGGCGAAATTTCGGCTATTTTGTCAGGTGAGTGAACTGAAAGACGTTCAGGCAAGACGCAGCAAAATCACCAAAAATATACATATTTATTCAAGAAATCCAACTGATGGTGTTAATGGTAATATGTCGTTTCACATGTTTGTCGTTTATAATTCTTTCATTTGAAAGGGTTTAGGCACTGCGTTTTAATGTGAAATTAGGCTGTGTTTTGGTCAGGGGTGTTGCCCTGTCTACAGGCCTCAATCTGATCTCAACAGCAGCTCATACAAAGCCTCAAAAACCCCATTCAGGAAGTGTGTGTAGTTAGATCATTTATTAATATGATGCCTACAAGTGTAAATAGGTAGATTTGTGTAATTCTTGTTTGAGTTGTTGAGGAATTTGGGCCTGTAATGCAATATAAAAACACATTTATCAGTTTAGCTGCTGAATGTAACCCAGTTTATTTAATCTAAATATGTAAATGTATTAGTGGAATATAGTTTTATATATTGTTTTATTAAAAAATAATTAGATTTTCAGTCTTTCTGACCCTTTTTGCTTTTGTTGATGTAACAGTTTAATGATTTAATTGTATTATTTAAAATGATTTAATTATTTTGTTGGTTTAAACCTTTTAAAAACACTTTAGTGTAATGTTTGTTAAATATGCACATGTAACATTCTTTATGGCTAATATTTATTTAAATATTTGTATATGAATCATTTAAACCAATTATTTGACAAATGTCACTTTTTTTTCAATCTGTATTATTTCTTTGTAAATACATTTCAAATTCATTAAAACGTGATTTAAGTTTATTTCTTTTAAATGTAAATTGTTAAAGATTAATCTTTAATTGTATTATTTAAAACTATTATTGTAATTATATGATGGTTCCAGCCGAACCAGTCAAGACGTTTTAGGTTAACTTTTGTTAACAAATATAGGCTAACTGAGTCTTTATGGCTGGTATTCCTATAAATGTTTGCAAAGAAATATCATATTTTATTATTATGTGTTATTTATTATTTTGTCTATGCTTAACCTAAACTAATATAACATACAAGTAGCGTCTGATATTCTAGTATATTCTGTACCAGCATCATAAAATGTCCCGTAAATGGTTAGGCTGTAAAGGATTTGGGTCATGGTATATTTAGATCATTTCTGCGTCTGATTTGGGCCAGTTGCCATTATGAATATGCACAGGCTGTCCTATCAAGCCAGATAGTTTATGTAGGAGTCAGTTTTATAGATATGTGATGGTAAAGAAAGATTTTAAGTGTAAACAACATATTCCTCTCATTCGTTGTGCTTCTGGTCTCACTTTGAATGTGCTTTCAAATATTAACAGCTCTTTTTATTTTATGTGTTGCACAAGGCTTTGGTTTTATATTGACAGATAATACATCGGTGTTTCTCAACCCTGGTCCTGGAGCCCCCCAGCACTGCACATTTTGTGTGTCTCCCTAATCAAACACACTTGATTCAACTCATTAGCTCATTAAAAGAAACTCCAGGACCTGAAATGGGTGTGTCAGATAAGGGAGACATACAAAATGTACAGTGTTGGGGGGTTGAGAAACACTGTAATACACGAATGGCACTCTTTCTTGTTAAAGTGGAGTAATACTTGTCAGATGAGAGACTGGAAATGCAAGAGCTTTAATCATACAGAGCAACAAAGAACTCAAGCAAGCGCTGTTTACTCGTGACTTTTGTCGACTTGGGCAACATAGTTTGGTAAACAGTGCCCCGTTTGTTACATCTGCTTATGTACCGCTGACGTTAGCTTGTGTAGGCAGCACATTTCTCCAAACTTGTTTTTCCATGCATTTTCTCCTGTGAAATAATTGTATTTTCATTTTCTTCACAGCATGGCTAGTTGCGGCGAGGTTAATCTTTCCATGGACTCCCTGACTTCAGGCAAGAAGGTGAGTGGGGAGTCTGTGACGGAGGGAAGTCCATCCCCTTCGTCTCCTTCCCTACCCATTCCGGAGTGTGCAATCTGCCTGCAGAGCTGCGTCCATCCCGTACGCCTGCCATGCCAACATATTTTTTGCTTCCTATGCGTAAAAGGAGCTTCCTGGCACAGCAAACGCTGCGCCCTCTGTAGAGGGGAGGTGCCTGAGGACTTCCTGGAGCGTCCCACTTTGCTCTCGCCTGAAGAGCTGAAGGCTTCGGCGACAGGCGGACGTGGTACGGGGACTGGTGGCCACGCGTGGTACTATGAGGGGCGTAACGGATGGTGGCAGTACGACGAGCGGACTAGCCGAGAGCTAGAGGACGCCTTCAACAAGGGCAAGAAGAGCGCCGAGATGCTGATCGCCGGCTTCCTGTACGTGGCCGACTTGGAGAACATGGTGCAGTACAGGAGGAATGAACACGGCCGCAGGCGGAGGATGAAGAGGGATGTGGTGGATATCCCTAAGAAAGGTGTGGCCGGATTAAGACTCGATCCAGATCCCAATCCCAGTCCTGCAGCGGGAACAGCTCCTGCAGCACCCGCAGTTGCGGATTTAAACGGAAGCATTGATGGCGCCACAGCGGAGCGAGAGAGTTCAGCAGATGGAGCGGACACTGGAGTCAGCGGAGGACGTCCTCAAGGCATCTTTGCTTCTGCTCCCGTAAGGCCGCCAACTGTCTTGGGTGGTCACCTGACCAGCCCTGCTTCCTCCAGTGATATTCAGCTTGTACAGGCTCTCTCCCAACTCAATATGAACCCCGCTGAGCAAGAACCAGAAGAGGAAGACGCAGAAGACGATTCGGCCGCTCCGGACCCATCGGGGTATGAATCAGAGTCTGGCACGAGCGAGGATGAAGATGAGCAGGCTGGGGATGAAGGTGAAGATGAGCACACAGAAGGCTCCCAGGGTAGGCATAGATTGCATCAGTTGGACAGACCGTCCCCTGGTGGTGGCCCTGCGCATAGCAGCGATCGCTCTGGGTGCCCCGACGGTCAGTGCACCGTTACAAAGGTCTGACCGCAGCACAACTACAGAACTCCTACCCAACTCCCACAACCGCTGGGTATTTCTAACCAATCTCTGAAATGCAAAAAAATTAAAGAATAAACCTTTCAAATCATTGAAACACGGTCTTGGACCAGGTTTGAGGCTAGGGACGGATGGTTTTAGTGTAAGAATAGTGCTTGTCTCTTTCAGTCTTAGAGGACTGTACCAGGGCTGTACTCTTTAATGGAAATTACAGGCAAAACTACAATAAACTTGCTTTTATGATGCCTAGAATACTGTAAATTGGTCCAGCCATTACACTTTCATTTGCATTCTTGTAATAGAAAATAAAAGTTCACAATAAAAAAAAAATGACTTTTAACCCTGAAAAATTAAAAGAAAAAGAGTATAAAATATAAATTTGCACAAGCCTATTTTTAACCTTGTATGACCATTGAGATTTTTGTGTTTTTATAACAAATTGGCACATTTCATCCTAAATTCTCATTACTCTAATGCATTTGTCTTATTAGTTATTAATCTCAATGCTGATTTTCACTTTTTTTTTTTTTTTGACTGTGATACTGAGATTTGTGTAAAAATTGTATTTATTATATTGCATTAATGAGAATTTGGGGGGGGGATTTGCTTAGTTGTGCACAATTCAAAGAAATCTCAATGATCTACAATACAGGCTTAATTTAATCATATATTTAAAAAAAAAAATCCTTTTGATTTTGAGGTGCAATTTGACCCAAACATGTTCTTGAGATTCCTATTTTCTTATCATGAGATTTCATTACATCTAGCATGGCTCAACACCATTATCCAGTGGTTACGGAGTCATACAGTAATGAAGTTAAAGTCTTTTCATAAAAATATGCCATATCAACTTTTACCCTGAGGCGTCTTCAATGCCATCAAAAAACAATTGCTAAAATAAAATTGCATCTCTTGGTAGGAAGTCCATAGACCCATTTATATTGGGTCTTTACTAGTTTTATTGTTTTGAATATCACAATTATGCTGTAGATCAAAATGCCTGACTATATTTTGCGAACAGTATTTTCATGGAAATGTAAAACATTTTGTAAATCACCACCTGGTACAGAGCCTTCTAGATCTTCAACAAGTGGTAAGAAAGCATCAGTTTTTTTTTTGGTGAAATGACAAACATTAGATGCAAAACCAGCATAATTTCAAATGCAAAACCTAACGAGAAAATAATTTATTGTAGTTTTGCCAAGGATTCCTCTTTAGCACGCTCTAGTCATTAGAAAACCTTCAGTCATCTTACATTTACTACTTCTAGTGTTTCATGGTGTGAGGTTTAAAACACTTTAACGGTCTGTGTGTGTGTGTGCATTTGCGTTTGTTTTAAGCAACTTGTCTTTTATTCTTCTGTCTCATCTTGGTGTGCTTTATCTGTTTCGTGGATTTGCATGTGTTGCTGTGAGCGAGGATGGAGCCCTGGACTACGGCGCTTTGAACTCTGGGAAAGGCGAGTTTCATCAGATATTGTAATTTGTAGTTGTAAAGTAGTCCTCAGACTGCAGCACACCGAGTGAGTGAGGGGTTTTCAAGCATAGGTGTCCGATTTGACGGTTTTTGAAATTTTAATGTTATTTTCAATCCTGCTAATTCTCATCTCCATCTGTTCAGGTTCTTTGTTGTCAACGAAACAAAATGAAAATTAAAATCAAGAATAACTTCTTTTTGCTGTATTTGTTTTAACTGTGTTGTTTTGTTACCAGGTTTATCTGAGAAATAAAGTGTTGTCTGTTACCTGTCT